GTGGCAGTCCAACTGTTTTCTTACCAACTTGACTCATGTTCTTTCAGGTAATTTGATGCATTTTTGTAACTCTCTTTTTTTTTTTTTTTTTTTTTTTTTTTTTTTTTTTTTTTTTTTTTTTTTTTTTTTTTTTTTTTTTTTTTTTTTTTTTCTTTTTTTTTTAGGTGATGCTCTATTAAATGAGTTTTGATATTATTACTGTAAGTTCTAATCCATTCAGGTGCATGTAATTTTTATTGTGTAATTAATCTATATAATCTTAAGATGCTTTAGACTGTAATCCTTTACATGCTAGAACGGCTGGCCACCAGGCAGAAATGTTTTTTGAGGCAGGAAGATATAAAAGGTGCCCAATCAAGCAACAGGAAGAGAAATGGTCTTAGAGAAAGCTTCTTGAGAGAAGCTGCTAAGCCTCTGCTCTGTTAGACTTTGTTCTCTTCTGTTCAGTTGGACTGTAGGTACAGTAGATTTATATGTATGTACCTAATTAAATTGTGTCAGATTAATTCTCACAAAAGCCTTATTTTAGCATTGTAATCTTCACCCATTTTAGGTTGGATGATAACTTGGTGAAATGCTTAGTACTTTGGAAAGTTAGTGGCTTAAGTGGTAACTTGGTTATATCCAGACTATTAAAGTCTTTCTTTCCAGGATGAAATAACCTTGAGAGATTTAAATAACCTTTAAAGAGTTTGTCAAATTGCCAACTTTATTTGTTCAGCAAGTAGTTGGATTGCTATGGAAGCATACTGTGCTTTCAGAAAAGGCTGATTCAGAAAAGACATAATTTCTCATTCCTTCAATTGCTGGGCTATGGTGAGCACAGTGAGGTGAGCACTTGTTTGAGCAGCTGCTGCCAATAATATACTTGTCTGAATGCTGTGCTAGCTGCTGGAAGTTCTGTAATCATATTACTGCAGTTGGAGGTGAGGAAGCTGTGAAGCTTTAAACCTTGAATCAGTTAGTATTCTATTTGCTGTTACAAACAGACTTTGGCCAGGCTGAATTTGTTGTTTAAAAAGCAAAACGTGGCATGATATTTTCACCACATCCTTTCAGATCTGAAATAGATTCAGAAATGGGTCTCAGTTGTGCAGGCATTGTCTGCACAAGAGAAATTCAGAGATGCCTGTTGCATCGCTCAAGCTGTAACTAATCCATTATAAGGTGTTTAAATCTGGCTATTGCCTGCTTCACTGTTCTGAAACTAAAACACATTTTCTGACTGAGAACTTTTGCCTAACGCTCTTCTTGGGAGACAAACTGTGCAAAGTCCTCTGGAGTAGGGTTTGAATCCTTTCCAGCCTCAGGAGACCTAGTCTTATTCATTCTCTTTCAGAGTTCTTGGTCAGTCCTCTGAAGGCCAGTGTAGAAGTAAATTAAAGTAACTTCTCAGCAGCAGCTGCTTTCCTCTCTAAGGGCTGGAAAAATCTCAAAAGAAAAAAGAAGTTCCAATCTGATAATAGTCCTTTTGGATCTGTCTGTGGATTTTTCACTGTCAAGTTCGTTTTCCTACTGGCCATTACATAAAGCCTAATTTACTTGTTCAGTGGAAAAAAGAAACCACGGAGAAACCACACAGTGGATTCATATTCTCTCTCTTACTACAGAAGTAGTGATAGTTTATGTGACATCAAACAGTTCAGGTACAATGTTATGCTAAAGTACCTTGTGCTGCATTTAAGGTGGGTGTCTACTCTGTTGTGCTATGCATACAATATCCTGTCACAAATATGAGAAATCAAAGGCCTGTGAGGTTAATTGCAAACTGTGATACATTTAGAATAAGAAAAAGAATTGGTGTTTCAGATTTTTTTACTCGCATGGTAGTGTTGCTTCATAGG